AGCGGGGCCGCGGGGGACGAGGAGGAGCCGCCGCCCTTGGACAGGGGGAACAGCCAGTTCATCCTCCCCGCGGCGCCCGGGCCACCCAGCGCCCGCCTCCCGCCGCCCCGAGGGGGAGAACGCAGCGCTGCCCGGCCGCTGGCGGGGCCGGTTTCGGTGCCCTCAGCCCCGGGCTCTGCTTGGAAACAGGAAGTAAGGAGCGCGAGCCGCTGTCCTCTCAGACATCAACACACGTCTGCGTCATCACCGCTCGGCGGACGCATCTATTGGGACGCGGCGGTGGCGCCGGCCGTGCCCCGGAAGGCGGAGCGCGATTGGAGCCGAGAGCGCGCTCCCGGGGTCAGGGGTCAGAATGGAAAGGTCAGGGCGCGGCGCGCTGAGATGATGTAATGGCTTTGTGCGGTGGGGGCGGCAGGTTCTGCGCTTCTCGGTGCGACTCGCTATTCTGGGGCCGCCTCCGCCGCCGCAGGGTCCCAGCCAGACCCACCCCCACCCCCGGCTCTGCCCCGCCCGTGTGAGCCCGGCGTAGGTGAGAGCGGGAGGGGCGTGGCTTCCGGGCGTGGTGGGCTGTGGGGACTTGGGCGGGAGGCCGCCTTTCCGGGGGTCTCTAAGCTGCGGAGTCGGAGTGAGGGGCGCGGCCCGGGGGCTTCCCCAGCTCCGCGTGGGGCGTGCGCTACTCTCCGTTTTCAGTTCCTATTTGCGGGGGTGGGGCGGCCTCTGCTCGCGGCCTGGATCCCGCGGCACCGGGCGCTGCAGCCCCTGACCCCCGCCGTGCGCCCGGGCTCCGTGTGGGCTGAAGGTAGCTGCGCTGGGGGGAGGGCGGGTCACGGACACTGGGGGTTGTGGGGCGCTGCGGTGCCTGTTACGCTCCCAGCGCGGACCCGTCCGGAGTTGGAGTCTGTGTCTCCTTAGAACGGTGCGAATATTATTATTTTATTAACTCCATCAGGGTTTCGTGAAACCATGCGGTGCTGGCCGCTGTCTGACGCTTCCCTCCGTCACTGCATTTCAGGCTGTTAGTTGGCAAGCGGTGCGAAAGGCACTCCCGCACAAGCTCCCTGAGGAAAGAGAGAGCATTGAGGGGGTCCTTGCTGGAGGCATTTCATTGCAGCGCAGAGTATTCTTATCTGAGATGCCAGCAGCCTGCCTGGCTTTGTGCAAATTGGCCACACCAAATAAATTAACAAAACTAAAAAGTTCTGTCTGTTTTTAAGTAGGATATCATCTTTTAGAATCTTAGAGCTGTAGGGCTGAAGGTCTCTCTCGAGATCTAGTCCAGCCCCCTGCGCTGATGCAGCACCAAGTAAGCTAGACCATCTCTGACAGGCATTTGTCCAAACTGTTCTTAAAAACTTCAAATGATCAGGCTTCCGAAACTCCCCTTGGAAGCCTGGTCCACAGTTCAACTGCCATTATTATTAGAAAGTATTTCCTAATATCTAACCTACAGCTTTCTTGCTGCAGATTAAGCCCATTACTTTTTGTTCTATCATCAGTAGATGTTGTCCTGTTTATAACAGCCCTTAACATATTTAAAAACTGTTATCAGGTACCCCCTCAGTCTTCTTTTCTCAAGATTAAATGGGTCCAGGTTTTTTTAACCTTTCCTCATGGGTCAGGTTTCCTAACTCTTTTTGTTGCTATCCTCTGACTCTCTTCTACATGTCCACATCTTTCCTAAAGTGTGGGTCTCAGAATTGTACACAGGACTCCAGCTGAGCCCTCACCAGCACCAAGTAGAGTGGGACATTAGCTCCCATTTCTTACGTACAATTCACCTATTAATATACCCCGGCTTTTCTTGCAACTGCATCACATTGTTGACTCATATTCAGTTTGTGATCCACTACTCTCCCAGATTCTCTTTAGCAGTACTTCTGACTAGCCAGTTATTCCCTATTTTGTTTTTGTGCATTTGATTTTTCCTTCGTAAGTGAACTACTTGTACTGATCTTTACTGAATTTCATCTTGAGTACAGACCAATTCTCTAATTTGTCAAGGTTGTTTTTAATTTTAATCCTGTCCTCCAAAGTGCTTGCAACCCCTCCCAATATGGTATCATCTGCAAATTTTATAAACCTACTCTCCACTTCTTTATCCAAATCACTAATGTAACTATTGAATAGTACCAAGTTCATAAGCTTTCAGTGACTAAGTTTTACTTTCATTTGAGTTTCAGGAAAACTGTTGGATCTTGCTCTGAAGGTTAAGGAAGCATTCTTTTTCAAATCATTGGGAATCAAAATTTGTATTTGTTCTTGTCTTTTAGGTAAACATCTAAAATCTATTTTATGAAACTGACCCTCAATCAAGTATAACTCTTTGATGCCTGGTATCTAAATCCCCCCCCACTATGCCAGCAGCTACAGTAGATCATAGTCAAAGAATTTGTGAAGTTTGGGCTTGTAACCTGGATGAAGAAATGAAGAAAATTCGTCAAGTTATACGGAAGTATAATTATGTTGCCATGGTATGTCTGTGACAGAGCCCTATTTAGTGTACTATGTGGTCTAGTCATGTTTTTCTCAGTGGGTGAGGTAATATCTTATAGACACACACAGCTGAGTAAGCTCAAAAGCGTGTCTCTCACCAATAGAAGTTGGTCCAATAAAAGATATTACCTCACCTACCTCGTCTCTCTAATATTCTGGAACCAACATGGTTACAACAACACTGTATACAAGTTTTCTCAGTAACAAGAAATTAGCCTTTTTAAAGGGCTTGTTCCAGAATCCATTGAAGACAATGGAAAGTCTGAATTATCGCTGCAGGTAGTCTGTCATGGTGATAGTAATGTTCATCCTTTAAATAAATAAAAAAAAATACTGCCATATACCATATTTTCAGTGAGTTATAAAGTTAAGTATTTGGAAACATGCTCTTGAAATATTTATATTTGGAGTGGGTTTGCTGCAGATAAGTTTTCTCTTTTGTTGAAGCTGTAAACTTATTTTTTACAGGACACAGAGTTTCCAGGTGTAGTTGCAAGGCCTATTGGAGAATTCAGAAGCAATGCGGACTATCAGTACCAACTGCTGCGCTGTAATGTAGACTTGCTAAAGATAATTCAGCTAGGACTGACATTTATGAATGAGCAAGGAGAATACCCTCCAGGAACTTCAACTTGGCAATTTAATTTTAAATTTAATTTAACGTAAGTGGTGATAAAATATTATTGGGTTTTTAGGGGGTTTTTTTTTAGTTTTTTTTTTTTTTTTACACCCAAGCATGTTATAATTATTACTTGCACAGTATTTATTTAAAATCTCAAAGGACTGATGTTAATACATTTTTAGTAAGTATGGTCCTTTCTACTTGGAGTATAAGACACTTTAGATACAAGAAAAGACCATTCAGGCAAATGGACTTCTGCTTTCTTGGCTTATTAGTCCCACATTCTTGTATTTTCCTTTATATGTTCTGCTTTATCATCTGTGTAACTTAAGGGTCAGCCTTGTGAGCTGGGAGTTGAGGGCACTCAGCACCTTGAAGATTTATCCTATAATTCTTTCATATGCATTTTTAGCCTTTAACTAAAGTAATTCTGCCTAAATTCTTTGCTTAATTTCTAATTTCTGATGGAGCTAATAATGTGAAATATACTGTAAAAGGAATCTTTCTTAATATGTAGCATGATATAATCGCAAAACCATTAAGTTGGGAGAAACCAGACAAAGATTAAAAAAAAAAAAGGTGTTAGGGCACAAAACTTCATTTTTGTTGCCAACAGTAGTTGTGCAGAGTGCAGAACAAGATATCAAACTTTCAGCCCCCAAACTTGGTTAGTCAAAAGAAAACAAGGAAGCTTTTTACAGTTCAGAAGGAAATTTCTGGGTGTTATTAATAAAATTAAATCCTGAATATTATATTAACTTCCTGCTCATTAAAATTAGATATTTTTTTTGACACGCACTTGTGTAAGTAATGGATTTAAAAAAACCCCACAAAAAATCCTAACTGAACTGAAAACATAGGACACCAAAGGCTTCTATCTACACAACAAGTATGGCATAGGTAATGACAGCTAATGTTCATAAGGTTTGACTTGGAGCGGCCAATTCTTATATAATGTCATTTATTCATAATGTATCAAAGCAATTTACAGAGTGAAATAATAATTAGAGAAATAACAGAAGAGGAATGAGAAATTAAGAGAAAAGTGGGGGAGATTCCGAACTTGACAACAGCAGTTGCTAGAATGTTGACTATTACATGAGCAAGTCTTTGAAGGACAAGCTAGTGAAAGAACAAAGCTATACTCATGTTTATTTAGAGACCAAAATGTGATTGGTTACCTGAATAGGGAACCCAGTTGGCTTCATTAGGCCCCAGAAGTTAATAACTAAAAGAATGTTGTTGGTTGGTTTTAGCTACAGTTAAGGATTTGCCTCTTTCCCGGTCTCCTGTGCTGGTAGTCTTTGTTTGGTGGACTTGTGCAGCAGTGGAATATTAAATATATAAAGATCTGTATGGGTCTCATTTACCACAATGATGGGTGTTGTATAGGACCTACCTAAATGTAGAAAGTTTTTAGGGGTACCCTCTGAAGTATATAGTATTGGCAATAGTATTCCCTTTTCTTATCATGCATCATTATTGTGTATATGTGCAGCAAACTAGAAGTTGTTTAGGTTTTTTTAATCTCATTATTACACTGATCAATAGGAGGAGAGGAAAAGGTCAAGATTTATAACTTCAGACCTGGGAGAAGGGGGGGAAGGAATTTTCCCTCAGTAATCTTCCCTCCCTAGCCCTTTCAGTTTCTCAAAATCAATATGCTCAGCTTGTCTTTCTTGCTTGTTTTGAATGTCTAGTAATAGGGTCATTTTTGCAAAGGAAAATAATTTCCTAAATATTTAGGAAATTATCTCAACTTGTAATTTCCTTGATGATTAAGGTATTGGAGTGAATAATATATCTTGGTTGAAATCCATTCTTATGTCATTAGTAGGACCCAACCACATTCACAGTCCATTTTGGTCATTTCATGGTTATAGGATTTTAAAAATGGTAAATTTCATGGTTTCAACTATTTAAATCTGAAATTTCACGGTGTTGTAATTGTAGGGGTCCTGACCCATAAAGGAGTTGTGGGGGTGGTCGGAAAGTTATGGGGAGGGGGTTGCAGAACTGCTACCCTTACTTCTGTGCTGTGCAGACAGTGGTGCTGCCTTTAGAGCTGGGCAGCTGGAGAGCAGTGGATGCTGGTCGGGAGCCCAGCTCTGAAGGTAGAGCTACTGCCAGCAGCAGCAGCAAGGATGGCATGCTATTCCCACCCTTACTTCTGTGCTGCTGCCTGCAGAGCTGGGTCCTCGGTCAGCAACCACCACTCTCCAGCCGCCCAGCTCTGAAGGCAGCAGCGCTGAAGTAAGAGTGGCATGGTATGGTTTGGCCACCTTTACTCCTGCGCTGCTGCTGGAGGGGCACTACCTTCAGAGCTGGATGCCCGGCTAACAGCTGCTGCTCTCCAGCCACCCAGATCTGAAGGCAGTGCAGAAGTAAGGGTGGCAACACTGACCCCCACCCTAAAATAACCTTGTGACAACCTCCTCCCCCGCAACTCCCTTTTTGGTCAGGACCCCCAATTTAAGAAACGCTGGTCTCCCCTGTGAAATCTGTATAGTATAAGGTAAAGCACACAAAAGATCAGATTTTACAGTCCATGATGCATTTTTCCTGACCATGAATTTGGTAGGGCCCTAGACATTAGGGAAAGTCGTTTGGTTATGTGAAGGAAGAGTTTGTAATCTTGTCTGAACAACCAGTCTTCTCCCAAATATCTATGATTAATATAAGAAAATAGTCCTATGTTGATCCCTAGAGAGCTTGGTTCAATTTCTTTGCTGTTTCCTTTAAATGTTCCTGAATTTTATCTTACAATGGGATTGAGGATAATTTTAAAACTGCTTAGTCAATACTGTGTAAAAGAGTTTTTTGTTTTATAATCACCAATTTTAGTGCACGGTTTTCAGATATGTACATATTTAACTGTGAACAGTTATATCATGGTGTCTGCATTGTTAAATCTGTTTTAACACTGCCTATTGAAACAATGGGCAAAATGTTCCAAGTATACACAGCATTCTGTGCTGGATTTTACTTATAAACTTGATATTGAGGCTGTGTCATTGTGTGGATCTGAATGTTGTATTACTTATGTCTCTCATCGTAGGGAGGACATGTATGCCCAGGACTCCATAGAACTACTAACAACATCTGGTATCCAGTTTAAAAAGCATGAGGAAGAAGGAATTGAGACTCAGTATTTTGCAGAACTACTTATGACATCGGGAGTAGTGCTGTGTGAAGGAGTCAAATGGCTTTCCTTTCATAGGTAAATACTGCACATAAAATAATATTTGAGTTGGCCAGTTTTCAATGCTATTCTGATGCCAGACTTAAAAATGATTGACCTGTGCTTTTAAGCTGTACATCTAATGCTGAATTAGTTTAGGGTATAGTGAGGTAATTTAAAAAGCTTTGTTAATGTTACTCTTAGGGTCTGGACTCCCAAATTCATAGTAGTTCATTTAGAAACTAATGACGTGTGTCTTGTAACAGGATGCAAAACCATTGGTTTTCAGGAGCAGCCTTATAGAAAGGAAGCACTGTATCTTTCTATTTGTTTTGCTTTGACAGTTTCCCAGGTCAAGGGAGAAAGCAGATACATACCTCTCCTGTACGCTAGTCAAGTAATTGGAAAACTGAAAGTAGTTGCTTAACATTATTTGAGGGGGAAGGACGCCTCAGGACAGCCCTGAAGACTTTTAATAATGCTGGTAGGGAAAACATGAACGTGTCTTATTAAATGCACAAAATACATTTTTCAAAGTCATCTGAAAGTTTTGTATCTTGTTCTTATGTGGGTCACTCTCAACTACTTAAACGCTTTCTTTTTAAAGTAGTAACCTTTATGTTCTTGGCTGAGAGCATGTGGCCTCTCTAAAAGAACTAAATCCTTCTGAATTATTATTTTGGACATACGTTATTTAGGATGACAGTCATTAACTCAGTTGCAGCAATCAGCCTTTTTTTGGGAGGTTTTTACCTTAGTTAAAAAAATGAAAAGACTGAGGATTGTGTGCCCAGGAAATGTGATGTTTTAAGAGTGCTCTTCTCATTTTAGCACACTTAGCTTTATGAAAGTTTACATGAAACACTTCTTTCTGCACACATGCTTTGGGCTGTCTTGCGGAAGAAAGTACATACTACTTGGTTTGCTTAGCTTATTGAAGAGTAATTATTTCTCAATGAGATGGAAGCTGGCGCTGTGTGTGTGTGTATATGTATATATATATACATATATTATATTAATGTATATGAAGAGATCTGCGACTGAGTTTTGTTTGGGTTGGTTCCTTTAGTTAGGAAGTGACTGTAATCAGGTTTCAAATTCCATTCTTCTGTGATGAGATGGACGTGAATATATAGCAGGGTGGATTTGATTTAAATCACTAGTCAGGAAGATTCGATTTAATCATGGATTTCTACATAAAAGTGCATTCTTGTTGGTTATAACCTTAATACATATTTTTCACAACTCAGAGATAGATGTAGGTTTCATTTTTAGATGGTACACACTATACATTTTTAGAGTAATTTATTTTGAAAACTTTTCAGATTAGTTTTACAGCTGTATCAGAAAGTGAATGATTGTTTGGTTATTTCATTTACCAAAGGTAATTGAAGCAGATATTTATTAAGTCACTGGGAGGGGAACTATCTCCAATTCAACAGGTTAATCCAGGGGTAGGCAACTTATGGCACGTGTGCCGAAGGTGGCACGTGAGCTGATTTTCAGTGGCACTCTCACTGCCTGGGTCCTGGCCACCAATCTGGGGGGCTCTGCATTTTAATTTTAATTTTAAATGAAGCTTCTTAAACATTTTAAAACCTTTATTTACTTTACATACAACAATAGTTTAGTTATATATTATAGACTTGTAGAAAGAGACCTTCTAAAAATGTTAAAATGTATTACTGGTCACGCGAAACCTTAAATTAGCCTACCCTATGCAGACCCTGGCAGATCCCAAACCTCTCCCATTCAGTCAGGCACATCTGCCCCTGT